TACGCACGGGGTTTCAAGATTTTAAAACTTTAGTTCGTAGGGTTGCCTGGATTTACAAAGGAGGAATATCCAAATAGGCTGAACCTGAAACATGTTAGTGACAATTTATGTCTTTGTTTTAACTACGAAGACCTCGTAACTTGTGACTGGTCCTGTTCATGGTCTTGTGTCTGGTCTTGTGATGGTCTCGGCTACAACACTGATTAAAATTGAGCCAATTTGCGCCGTGTGTCATGTCGATCAGGGAGCTCGATTTTTTTTAAATAAATGGTTAAAATGCCATCCAACCAATATGCAGTTTACCTTTTGTTGATAAACACAGTACCAAAATACAAAAAAAATGTTTAAAGGGCAAAGTTCATGTATACGTACTGAAAACATGAAAAGATAAAGAAGAGAATGTTTAAAGGGCAAAGTGCATGTATATGTATCTAAAACATGAACACACACACACACAAATATCCACACAAAAAGCAATTTCAACACAGTCTGGCAATTCGTAAACGGCAATTGATAAGGTAAAAAGCTACAGGGGCGCATCTGTTGGAAGATTAATTCAACCGTAGTGCCATGTGACCCCTAAAATACCAGCTCAGGAGAATTGGAATAACGTCAAATTGTGTTTGTCTGAAGTATTTCCTTTCCTTCCCATAGCGTTTAAAAAGCACCCAAATGTAGCCCCACCTCTAAGAAAGGCCACACACGTTACCTGAAATTATTCTCAATCTTTTTCAGCCCGGAATAAAACTTAGAAAAAAAGTTCAACCCCCTCCCCCGAAATTTTGGCTCCAGATCCGCCCTTGATAGGCAGAGAGGATGATATTAGAATACTAAGTGTAACGGGTATACAATTGGGACAAAAAGTAACATACAACTGGTAGAACAAACACATTTTTTTCCTCGAATTTCACAACTTCACTCATTCCTACCGGCTTTTCTTTTGATGAGAACAAATAAGATGGGTCTCTACTTAATGTACATGGTGTATGCATCAAATAACAACACCCACAGACATAGTGACATGTATGGGTTATATATGTATTGCCAAAAAATCAAAATTGTGCTCCAACCCTGATATCTAGTGTCACTTTTCTGTATTTTTCTCGCGTCTCACAGTCGTATATAGTGGACCGCTTTCAGAAGTGTTTTTGAACGAGAATACCTTAATTGGACAGGCCGTGTATCAGATTAATTGACAGTCGTATGTTTCTTGAAATCCTAAATTACACGTGGCCCTATAGTATAACGTTGAATTAATCAAGTTCATGCATACATGACATTCGTAATCGTAAGCTGTGAGAAATTGGGCAAAAAACGCCGCAGAAGTGAGAAAATTATTAATGAAAAGCGGGAGTTACGAAGAAAATTAATGGGCCTAAAGAATGAGAAA